ATTGGTACAGTATGGTGGCGATGAAAAGTCGGGAGGAAATCAACGGGGGTGGCGAAAGTGCCTCGGATAAGCGTGGGAACAAGGCGGGGAGGATTTCCGAAGTCGGAGGAGAAAGGGGGGAAAACAGTTACATAGTCGTAAAAAAGCCCCGGAACGGTAAAAACACTCGGCGGATCCTGGGGAATGCCTGGCATACCCGCGAGAGCATCGCGTGGATGAAAATTCTACGAAAGGGCAGCCGGCATTGCGCGCGTGCTTTCACTTTATGAAGAAACGGGGGCGCGAAGGGGGCGCGAAGGGGGTCCAGTCTGTTCTTGATATGCACGCTTAAGGAAGCACTTTGGCTGCCAGCCGGAGTAATTGCACGGAAGGGCCCTCCCCACCCCTCGTCAGAAGGGAGCAACGCTGGGCCCTGTCCCCGTGCTGCTACAATGTCCGGGAGGGATCCGGGGGCCTAACGAAAGGGGAACGCTCAAAACAGAAGTAAAAGTGCATCAGCGGGATTGACGCGCGGATGCATATTAAAATGCACCGACCCACCGCGAGACCAATTAACCCTTTGCACTCACCGGAGACATCGGACCTTCTTTTTCTGTCAAGTTATTTTTCGGCCTCTTCATTTTGGTACTTCCCGGAGCTGGCAGTAGCCTCGAGCGGCAGTCGCGAGAAACGCAAGGTGCAGAAGAATATTTAGTAAATCTTTGAGCGAGTTCTTCTTTTTTTTTCGTAGAAATAGATCGTTGGTTGCAACTATTATGCACAGATCGTGTCGTGAGAGAAACACAATCGCCAGGTTAATTCTTAATTAGAGTCAGGACGCTTGTTCTCGGGCATCATTGTCTATGAACTGTGCGAATTTAAATTGCGATCTCTCTGATTTTTTAGTATTTTGTGATCCCGCGTGCACGCATGGTAGATGTTAAAAGTGGTGGAAGCATCAGTTACCGTGATGCGTCACAATTCTTTGTCCACTTGGATGACTAATTCTAAGGGATGCGAGGAGACGGAGTTCGTTTTCTGGAATTGATGTGTAAGCGATGTGGAATTCGTTTTTGGAGGAGCTGCAAAAGGAATTCCCCCTTGACAATGAATTAAGTAAATTTCCACCCTTTATCCCATCTTGTTCTGTTCAAACAATGAAATGCATGGACTTAGCCGGCCCAGTATGCATGCAGATAGCATCGTTCGGTAGGGTTAAGTATATGCAACAAAAATTGTATAAAAAATGATCCAACATTCAGTCCAGCTATTGAAGATTCTGACACGGTGCGCGACGCAGAAAGAAGTGTCTTATAGCTCAATAGGACCTCGTGTGCGCAGGTCGGCACGGCAGGTCGCGACAGTGAAAATAATGAACAGGGTGGGGGTGGATAGAGGTCGTGATTTGACAGAGACCAGGTGAAAATTCGTGTTGGAAGGAAGGCGAGCACGTGGGCGTAAACAAAAGTACGAATTCAGCCAAGGGCGCGGAATGTGCTGGACGCGGCGCTGGATCCTTTACGGCATTGAATGTTCGTACATACGCCATACGCCGGTGCTATGGTATGGTATGGCATGGTATGGCATGGCATGGCGCACGGCCGTGCGTCCGCCCCGCGGCCACCGCATTCCAACGGCTGCCCAAACCGAAACCTATATCGTGTATTCCCATCTCTCTCCTCTCTTCTCTTTCTCCCTCCCTCTGTCCTCCTTGCTATACCTTCCTCTTTCTATCTTTCTCCGCGTTGTCTTACTCTATACCCCCACCCCCGACCTCTTTCTAACCCCCACCAGATGTCCCTCTTAGGCCGTCATCACAAGAGCGTTAACTCTTTCAGGGGTACAGGAGGCCACCGAATGTTTTAATAGTCCCATCAGAATTGACCGAATTCGCTTTGAAAATTAACCGGGGAGTTCACGGGGAAAGATGTTCCGGATGGTCCAAGCTCGAAATGCTTCTAGAACCTTACCAATTCAGAACTCTAAGTCAGTCGAACCATCAAAGTATTGCTATTTTAGTCGGATCATCTGTGACATATCAGTTTGAAATATCAGTCAGAACGTCGTCCGAACTGTTCGAACTTTGACTCGTTCGGATTTAAGAATAGCCAACTTAAACTGCTCTTTCTAACTGTTTCGAAGCCCGATAGTAATTCTGATAAAGAAACACAATTATCTGCCGATACACATTTTACCAAGAACGGTACTATATTTCCTATAGTTCGTTTCTCAATAGGGTTTCCCGGCGGTCGGTCCCACTTCGTTCAGAGCTAACGAAGAGATCTCTTTCTGACACCAGAAAAAGCCACCTGTAACCTAGAAACAGTCACGGTTCACGAACTCGTGCTGCAGAAACATGAATTTGCATAACGATGCACGCTACGCTCCGGACATGTGAAGCGGGGTGGACAGGTAATGCGTCCACGCATCCCGGATTTCTTCCGTAGAAAAATAGACGATGAACGCGTGTAAACGGTATATACACTAGGGGCCGTGGATCAGCGCGATTTACAAGATCGTTACGGGTCGGAAGATCGCGGGATGCCGCGGATCGTGCACGTAAACGGCCGACGATTTAATAAGCACGCACACGCGGCGTAAGCATTCGTATGACGCGGCTGGCTAGGTTTACGATATCGGGCATCGTGTTTACGATCGCCCGGACGATCACCGTGAATACGATTCGGCGTCGCGCGTAACCCGTACGATTCCCGGCCCGAATATTGCTACCGGTTTCGATTTATGCCCCCGTTGCGTTGGTCGGAGATGTTCGATATTCGTGGCTCTCTTATCGCGACACTTTTTGATCGTGAGAGTGTCGTCGATGTTTCTCGTTCGTTTTGGGACGCGGCCACATGTACGCATACACAGATCGGAAACAGGTTCGAACTTATTAGTACAGATGACCTGGACAGCTGATTTCATCGAGATACATTATCTAAGCTCGAGATTATTACGATGTATGGCCTGTACAGATTGATTTATACGAGTCTGCTCGTTGCCGGAAATGATATTTGCCTGTATCGATGTCTCCCTTGATACGTCACCGATCGGGCGAAAGTCCGAGGAGGATCCACGATCTATCAAACGAGACTCTCGCAACCTACGCGGTAACCGGTTAGCTGTAAATCCTTAGAAAAGAGGCCCAAATCGTTCCTCACAGATTCACATTGTCGTTCCCGTTGGGACTGTCCTCGCCATCTCGAACATGTCCGAACCCGTCCAGACGCGGTGCTCGTCGCCCGCGGGCGCACCAAGAAAAATCGGTTTTTCGGGAAAACCGGTTCCCGCCGTTTGTTCGAAGCTAGAGTCCGCGAACTTTCTAACATAAACGATCGTGATCGTTTGTCCGTTCTCGACGTTTTATATCACGAAACTCGCTGACTTTTCGTGCTATTTCATTCCAAACTGAACGATTTTTCGATTTTCCGAACCACGTGGTGAAAAATACTCATTTTCATTGTGTATTGTGTTTTCCGGAAGACATCTATGTCGTAAGTCTTAACGATAGCTGTCGACTTTATTTTTACTATTTCGATTACAATTATTTGAACTTAGAACAACAACTGAATTTGCACACGCATTAGAACTCCATCGGGATCCGCGATCTTTATAAATGATACGGAAATTTGGTACATGACTTACCAAGGTTGCTTCAACGTGCTGGTAGGTCCAAACATATGTAGATCCTCGGCATGACGGTCCCTCGACAGACACTTGACAAGGTTTTAACAGAAACTTCACTTTCCGATGGAATATCGCATTCGCATCCTGGTGGACGGTCAGCTCGGTCGAAGAGGCCTCCGCGGACGAAAGTATTACATGACCGCGGTGAAAAGCGCACCAGAACACGTCTCACGAAACTGTAAACACACTGGGTCGTTTTAAACGGTGGTCCGCGGACGACGAGGTTGGCGCAAATACATAATGCATCGGGGACAGAAGATACCCGCGTCCCGATAACAAATACGAAAAACGGCTCTCGCCTGATCGCGGTCTCGTTTGAAATGTTTACGGCACGAACCGTATCGGCCGTGTCTCGTTACGAGGACGAAATATCCGCGCACACGTACAACGAGTCGCCGCTTTTCGGCAGCTGTCAATTACTGGCAACACAGGCGCCGCGTTTGTGCAGCATCCCAGCAGAACCACTTTCGGTCCAGTCTACCAAAAAAAAAAAAAAAAACGAACCTGTTGAGCGAGGGACGAACCCGTGGAAACGGTCTGTAGCGCCACCTGTGTCGGATTTGATGGACTTCGTTGCCGTGAGAACCGTGATCGGCGGTGTGGAACAGGAATATTTGTATCGGAGATTTCAAGTCAGGGAAGAAATTATTTCCGATTTTGGAGATGTATTGTAACGAAACATTTTTCATTCTGATAAACCTTTGTATCGGAGCAACCTGCTGAATGGCTGGGAAACCCTTCAATCAAATAGAAAATGACAGCTTGAAATATAGTAGAAAGGGCATTCGTAAATATTTTTCTAGAATCAAAGAAAAATTTACGAGTGGTGATTAAATTAAAGACAAGATTGTGTATCACGAATGTATGCGTTGTGCAGTGTACTTATCAGTCTGCCAGTTCAGGTGCTTAATTGCATGGAAAGTCAACAAACCGGGAACGTATCCGCGAAAAATACGGTTTCGAAATCTTCGAAATATACGGTAGATTTACCGAGTTTGATGTGTTCTTGATATATTAGAGGGTATTACAAGCTACGGATGCATAAGATAAGATCAGAAGATTCTGTGATAGGATGGAGAAATTGTAAATGTTTTTGCCTGAGGAACAGGTTGCACGGAGAATCTTTCTGAACATAGCAATTTATGAATCCAGTTGAAATATCGAAGGCACAGAACACGTTAGAATAGTAGAGGGAAGTTTCGAAATTTTCCGAGGACGAAGTGAGCATGCGTCCGTGAATAGTTCTGCATGAAGATAGGTTCAGACTACGTAGCAAAGTGCGCATGTGTCGTATACAAATTGCATTTAAATTCAATTAAATAAAATTCAATTAATTACGTTAATTACGAGATTTATTGCGAAAATCTTCGAATATCTTCAGATTTGACATTTTCATTCAAGTTTGAAATAATTGCGAGTCAGCAGAGATTAATAATTTGTAATTATCCATGTTTAAATTTCCCGCCATTGTGTGTCGTTCAATTATTTTACGAAATTCAAATTCTTCAAAATACATTATTACCTATACAAATATAGATGTAAACTCAATCCTAAAACAATTTTTTGGTTGACATTTGTAGAAATTTTATATATTTCTTTCTTACCATAGCATGATTTAAATATTACCGCGCTTTATAGCGAAATTCGTTCTTTTCCTTTCATCCAATGACCTACAGAAAGAGATATTAATTTTTAAAAGTGGTGAAACTGTACGTACGTACACATATAATGATCTCCAAGAACATTCAATTTAAGGCTATTGAGATAAAAAATTTTGACAGTATTTCGCCTCTAGTATACTCTGCATTGTAGGCAAACAGAACGGCAGCAAACTTCACGTATGTTGGAGGAACGATACAAGTCAGCAAGTGATCCAAAGAGGGAAAGAGGACTGTATCTGTGGACAGTTAAAGGGGGTGTGCAGCCCCGGTTACTTGGATACAAGTCTGATTATTATATTTGACAATAAACGTTAATTTGTACTATATGAATTGGAAATAATACATTATCAATATGGGTGAGTCACGCGATACCTTTTCATAGAGTTCCCATTCTCGAAATTACTGAATCCCCGAAGCGAATACAAATGCTAGGTTGATCTCAGCCGACAGTTCTCGTTTTCCAGCGTGTCTTTACAATATTGACGGTCTCGATTTTTTCAGGAGGATTACTCAGTTATTTTCGTAATTTGCTTGGCAGTCGGGAAATGAGAATTTTAATCCTGGGTTTGGACGGTGCTGGGAAAACTACGATCTTATACAGGTTTGGTCCACATTGACAAGCTAGCTGCGTTTCGTATGACAGTTTAAACGCGTCTACAGGGTGTCACGAAAGTAATCTCTATCCGTCTTAGGGGTAATTCTCCGCAACATATTGGTTCAACGATTGTAAAAAAATCGCTCCAAAAAATTGTCTATAACAACGAAAATAGTTGTTAACATTTTATATACTAGAAGCTTGTTAATATATTTTTAAGTTGCACCATTTTGTCCTAAATAGCAGATTCTAAGGAAATGATTGAATTATGCTATTAAACTTATTAATCTCCTATTTTTGGAATACCTATGAGGTATCGCCAGTAGGCAGTTTCATTTATTTTGTGAGCCAACGTATAATTGTCGAGTTGTAAGAAGTTCTGGAATACTATAAATCAATGACCTCATTAGGATGTTATAATTGTCTGTGAGATTGGATTAAAAATGAAGCGATAACAACTTGTATTAACATAAATGAATATTATCAGTTGTTTTAGTACAGTGATTTCTCACACGGAGGATAATTATCCTTAAACGTATTATTAACTTCTTGACACTCTGTATGTGTTTTCCATATTAATTTACTTCTTTGATCCACTTAACTATTAAAATGTACTCTGGTAGGCAATAAGACTTATTGATTTTGTTTTGAATTCTTTTGTAACAAAGTTTCTGTAATCCATTATTTATTAGATTGCAGGTGGGAGAAGTGGTTACGACTATTCCTACCATAGGGTTTAATGTAGAACAAGTTACATATAAAAATCTAAAGTTTCAAGTGTGGGATCTTGGTGGACAAACTAGTATACGGTATGTTATATGTAAAGGGTCCTTGAAGTATAGTACATTACATTGATCTTTGCAATTTTAGACCATACTGGAGGTGTTACTATTCGAACACGGATGCAATAATTTATGTCGTCGATTCAGCAGATAAAGATAGAATAGGCATATCAAAAGACGAATTAATTTACATGTTGAGAGTAAGTATTTTTTAATACAATAAATAACAATTATCATCACAGATTATAAAAGATAAAATTCTTAAAATTTACAGATTAAATCTTAGATTGTTTTAATAAAAATGATCAATATTGTATAAAAAAAAAATGAATTTGTTTTTCTTAGGAAGAAGAATTACAAGGAGCAATTTTGGTGGTCTTAGCAAATAAACAAGACATGGCAGGCTGTTTAAGTGTCGCAGAAGTGCATCAAGCACTCGGATTAGACGCTCTCAAAAACAGAACGTTCCAAATCTTTAAAACATCCGCGACGAAAGGTGAAGGGCTTGATCAAGCGATGGACTGGTTGTCGAACGCACTGCAAAGTAAAAAATGATTAAGATTATTAAAGAATTTTTTTTACCCAAGCCTTACTGAGAAGACTAGTCACACGACTGTCGTTTCGAATGACCCACACGGAGCTGGGCGCCTCATTATGTTTATTTATTATATTTTAAATAGCCTTACAATTTCCATTGAACATATATTCTAAGATTTACTATACCTTTTCATATTGTGAAACAGAGAATAAAACTGAACCAAAAGTTTTATCTTTCTTACGTGATTCAAAATGTAATAAAGACAACTAGAAAATCTTTCGATTCAGATAAATATTCTTTTTTGTATCAGCATGTAGCATTTTATCGTCATTACAGTTTATCTCTTGTTATTTTTATAACCGTAAAAGTAATCAGGGATTTTAGTTACAACACAAAGCAATACAACATAACTTCAACAAGTTTTTTAATAAAAAGTTCTAGAAATCAAGTGTGCTACCGTAATTAGCAATGAGAAACATAGTGTATATTGATATAAATATATCACTTTTACTATTACACTAATCAAGGCTATCATTCATAGATATTTCAGTGAAATTGGAAATTGTTTAACGTGTCAATATTTTTGACATAGTGTGTGAATAATTGTGTACATATATGTAACTGGTTTAATTTCATTCATATAATATAAGACCCTGAAATGTAAAAAATTCTTTTATGTAAAAAAGAATGCCACATGCAAAACGGAGAAACATGATTCGCATAATTGAGACACAGAATTAAGTTTATTTAATTCTTTGCACTTGTTTTATGAAAAGAAACTGATGCTGCCCCACATATTCGTTTCAAAATAATAATAACCCACAAAATTGAAATGTACGTTATTAATTTTTGTTCAAAGCCGAAAGTATGTATAATCTTAATTACTTCAGTTTACATACCAAATAATAATGGATAATATATTTAAGCATATTGATCACATGCAATTACTGAACAGTGTATCGGAGATTTGATAATTTATGTATTTAAAGTAAATATAGATACTGTTTCATAATCAATGTTCCAAGCATCAATTATATTTGACCATTCAGCTCTTTAAATGTTTCGTTTATTGCTAATGTTAAAGAACGATAAAAGAAAACTATAATTATACCTGTGCAACACGTCTTCTGACATCCGTAACTCTACCACTCTGGTATCCCAAATCTTTCAATGCGTTTCATTTGTGTATCTAATTCCATTTGTACTTTTTTCCTCATGTAGAATATTGGACAATCACGACTAAGGAAAAAGATAATTGATTACTAATATGAAGAGTAATCCTAATCATATAAGTTTAAGTTGGTATAATACAAACTTTGTACACAGAACTTCTTGATGGAGACTCCCCTGGCATCTCTGACATTCAGTCCACAATCTACAGTATTTTTCCTCTAACTGTCTTCCAAGATACAATTCTGTCTGAAAGAACTCTGCCTCTTTGGGTTCACAGTACTCGCAAACAGCCATTTTTTCTCTCTCGGGTTTTAGAACAGCTTTGCAACCTAAGCATACTTCTTTCTTTCGCGTGAAAGCAGATAGAGCACCAACTCTAGACGTCGCTACCGATTTTGTACGCGTGTGATCCCCTTTTAGCAAAAGTGATTCAGCTTTGTCGCCGAGTATTGGTTCAAAAATGCGCACCAGTGGTTTGGACAGTTGATTTTCTAAATAGTGGTTCGTGTCTATAGGAATATTGTTATCCAACACGTAGATTGGATCTTCCGCTTTCTGATAAGCTGGAACTCCCTTGGCGCCTCTTATGAACACGTATGGGACTCTATCGCCAAGTTTTGGTGCGGTACCTGCGTCCCTTTTCTTCATTTTTGCCGCCAATTCAACGTGTGCCTGTTTTGCTGCATAATCAGTCTTAGTTAATTCCTTTGTAACGACTAATTGGGATATGTCAATGCGATTTCTTAACAGGTCGCTGATCATTTGTTTCGCATAGTTCACAGCATCGGTGGGGTTTCTATTATAAAATTAATTATTAGTTAAGAATTCAGTAATGTATAGAATTAATTGCCCATCTATAGACTATAATACTGAATTACCTATCGATGAGTATTTTTTGCAAACAAGTGTTCATCATGTTCGCCACTAAAGGGCAGTTATCTCTACGTACAGTTTCAAGACCCTTGCAATCCATCTTGTCATACTTATCAGGCCGCGTGAAATATAGACCAGCATACCGCTTTTTGTTAATTAATAAATAGGGAAAATAGACTTTCTCGAACTCCAATTTGATCGGCTTCTGGAATTTGGAAGTTACAAATTCGGCAGCTTCTCTACCAAGTTCCATAGCCTCTTCGATTGTTTTCACGCCGAATTTAACCATTACGGAATCTGTGTCTCCGTATATAACAATAGCATCATTTTTGTATCCATTTGCGACACAGTAATGTTGTTCTACTTCCTGTTTTGTTTTCTCTATCATAGTCCGTCCGTAAGATGTGACACTCTGTAATAGTTTTGAAAGTTGAAGTAGAGAAATATAATCAGAACTATTAATATTTGATAAACTATTACTAAAGCTTACAGCAGATATCTCCAAACAGGGCAATTTGCCCATTTGCGCACCGGTGAAACCGTAGACAGAATTTGCTGAGACTTTCAAAGCGTATTGTCTACCATCCAAGACCTTTTGCTTCAAGGGATCGGTTTCGTTCTTCAGTTCAGCCTTCGCTTTCTTCCTAGCTGCTAAGAGATTCTCCAAAATTTCAGGAAGCAGTCCTTTTCTGACATTAGCTTTGATGAACGTAGAGTTGTTTGGCGTTCTAGTAACGTCATCGTCGTTGATTTTATGCTTAGTTAGCCTCTCGTTGCCCAATAACGTTGTGTAGCACAAATTATGCGCCATGATAATACTGGGATACAGAGAACTGAAATCCAAAGTGGCTATGGGATCGTTGTAGTATCCACGCTTTGGTTCTATGACCGTAGCACCCTCAAATTGTTCTTCACTGGGTTGACCATGGCGAACTGGCATCAAATAATCTTTTTCTTTCGCCTGCAGACATAGATGGCTAATTAGATTTGATAATTTGTATTTGTAAATAAAATTTGCTTAGTATGAACCTTTCTCAGTAGTTGAGAGACCACTTTTATCTGTTGTCCTCTAGTTAGCAAACTATAAATAGAAACTCCTGTGACTCTTGCCATTTCCATATAAATGATAATACACATTAATTTGTCCAACAGTCTCAGAGGCAAATATGCATCTTTCAGACAATAAACAGCGAGCCTCCGACGTGTTTGCGCGTTTCCATGCTGTAAATCTGAGATAATACTGTGATGAACATCTTCCTTTTGCTCTTGGAGAAAGTGGTAAGAGACTGCGTTCAACGTGTACGATCTCAACTTGTAATCTCTGACCAACACCTGCATATAAACAAAATTCTCATCCACTGTTCTAAGATAGTATTTAATTGATATTATAAATGTCCTTACCAATAGTAAATCGAAGGGAACCCTTCCTTCGAAATTGATAGTCTTATTTTCACGTTTACCCATCTGCTTGCTCTGGAGCATTTGTGTTTTGATTACAGATTTTATGTTCTTTATTCGACCAAGGAAATTGAAATTCTTCACGTTCAGATGTTGAGCTCGATTAATGAGATATGGAAAATCGAAATTGTTTATGTTATATCCTGTAAAAATATCAGGGTCCAATTGTCTCACGAAATCTGCCCATTTCTGGAGAAATAAAAGAATGTAAACTGATACTGAATTTTTCTACATACAACTGAAATGCATACACACCTCCAGCATTGTACTTTCTTTGTCAAAGCTTAAAACTTGGCAACCAATGATTGGAGCACAGGTGTCAAGTGTGAAAATATTTCGTAGGAAAGGTTCTGGATCTCCTTGCTTTATTACCATGTTAGCAATCTGTATAACAGGATCGTGATTTGGTTCAGGAAAAATACCTGAAAAGAACATTTAACAGGATATGTACATAGCATAATTACACCGGACAAAAAATTAAAAAACAGTAATAACACTGCCTATATTACCTTTACGACCAGCGCATTCAATATCAAAACTAAGTATTCTGAATGGAGCAACTTTGGACCATTCGCCTTCTGGTTCATGAGCAATGAAAGCATCCCATGCAACATCCACTTCCAACTGGCATCTTGTAGTCAGCGGCAAATTGTGTCCAGATTGACCACGTAATTTCCAGCATTTCTGAGGTAATTCAATCCATGAACATCCTACCACTGATGTATCTACCATAAATCTAAATATTATGTGAAATCAGTAGACTGAACGAAAAACAATTTCTATTTTCATTTTTTAATACAGACCTAATATCAAAATCAATATTGCTTTCAAAGGCACTGTACTGATGATTGAAGTCAGGAAAAATGATTTCTTTCTCAAGAAGTCTTTTACAGGGTGCTAGCAATTTTGGCAATGCTACTGTAATTTTTAAAAACAATGCATTCTCGTTCCCTGAGTAACCATACATATTTTTCTTAAAAACCCTTTCAACGGCTAAAATAGCTTCTTGAATGTTTTCTGGATTCGATCTCATGTCTTTGAGCACTGCTTTGTTCAGTGCATCCTGTAGAATACAAAAATTTGAACATAATGAAACGAAATTACTGGACTCGACCGAATAGATACCTTAAAAGGCCTGCAATGAGAATCTGTAAATTTGGCTGGTCCAGAAACATACAAATATGGACTAAACCCATGAACATGACAACAAACAGAGTTTCCTAGCTCTGTGATACCATACATTCTCATTATTGGTACAGGACCTATTCTGCTACCTGGCATACCAGCTAATGGGGTACCTAAAAAAACAAAAATTTTCCATTTAAATCCAAGATTTTAATACACACTAATTGTAAAAAGCAAGACATTTTTTACCTGTATAATGATCAATTTCTATTTGTTGAAAAATCAATGATTCTTTCTCTGGATTCAATTGTGGTGGTGGTGGCCTACTCCACCTTAAGGATGTATTTTCTTGTTCTGGACCCTGTTGATAGTAATTTAATTAACAAACATAAATTACAATTTTGACCATTTTGATACAAAAGAAGCATGGAAGAAGAACATTACAAAAAGACAACAAGTGGATATATTTATATAACTGTAATTGCAAACATAATGCCT